AAGCAGTCCACCAACGAAGCGAGAAGTACTTAGTTACGTTATGTCCATTTTTGATCCATTGGGATTTTTAAGTCATCTGGTAGTGGGAGCCAAGATCATAATGCGTGAAGTTTGGAGACGCAAGATCATTTGAGATGAGCCCCTGCCTGATGATATTACTTCGGCTTGGAGGAACTGGCAGAGAGAAGTGCGGAGAGCAGCAGAATACAACGTTTTTACTTCAAGGAGGGTACGCCAAAGAGTTTGCAGCTGCACGTTTTCGTCGACGCAAGTGAGGAGGCCTTTGCCGCAGTGTGTTACTGGAGGTATGTTACTGCTGATGGAATCGCCAAAGTTTCACTTATATGCGCGAAGTTAAAATGCGCGCCCATGAAACTAATAAGCATACCCAGGCTTGAACTTCAAGCAGCGGTACTTGGAACACGTTTGTCACAAACAGTTCTCGATGAGCATCGGCTTGCAGTTTCCTCACGAATTCTTTGGAGTGACTCATCAACTGTAGTCAATTGGATAAATTCGAAGCATCGAAAATATAAGCCATATGTGGCGCATCGAATAGCGGAGATCCTTTCAACAACCGAGCCGACTGATTGGAAGTGGCTGCCCTCCAAATAAAATGTGGCCGATATTGCGACACGCCGAACAAGCCAAATAGATGTTGATCCATCTTCGCGCTGGTTCTCTGGTCCATCGTTTTTGTCAATGCCAGTGGAGTCATGGCCACGTGCCTCGGTCACTGCGAACAATCAAAATGACAGCGACGAAGAAATTCGTTCAACTAGCGTTTTCCTAACGAATACCTATGTTTGAATTGATTTTAATCGGTTTTCCTCGTACCCTAGGTTGGAAAGAACAACGGCTTGGATGTTGAGATTTATTGATCGTTCCCGACGTATAATATCGAGTGGGGGTGACTACTGATTGACCTCAAGCGAAGTTGATGCGGCCGAAGCTTATCTGTGTCGCCAAGCTCAGTTTGCAGTATACGGTGTGGAAGTGAAACAACTAAAAGATGGACAAATGGTCATAAGGGTAGGTGGTAGGATCCAAGCTGCCAGCTGGTTACCGCTCTCTGCTATACACCCAATTGTGTTTCCACCGAAGCACCGCGTCACTGTGTTGATCGTCGCGCATTACCACTGTAAAATGAAGCACCAGAACATAGAAGCAACAATTGGAGAAATAAGGCAAAAGTTTTGGGTCTTGAACTTGAGACAAGTCCTGCGGAGGGTTGTTATTGGCTGCATGAAATGCAAAGTATCGCGTTCCAAACCAGCTACGCCAATTATGGGTCCGCTCCCTCAGGATCGATTGACACCGTACGTCAGACCGTTCAGCTACACCGGATTGGATTACTTCGGCCCTCTGAAGGTCACTATTGGTCGGCGTACAGAAAAGCGGAGGGTAGCTCTTTTCACCTGCCTTACGGTCCGCGCGATACATCTGGAAGTGGCTTATGACTTGTCCACCGACGCCTGTCCTAGCAATAAGGAACTTTATTAATCGACGAGGTGTCCCTGTGCGTTTACGGAGCGACAACGGTAAGAACTACGTTGGCGCAGATCAAAAGGCAAAGCGGTTTGACGAGGTGTTCGACTGCGAGCGTGTTAGCAATGAACTGTCATCAAAGGGTATTGGGTGGATTTTTAATTGCCCCCAGAATCCATCGGAAGGCGGTATATGGGAGCGCATGGTGCGCTGCGTAAAGCGGGTTCTAAGTCACACGTTGAAAGAAGTTGCTCCCCGCGAATATACTTTGCAAAGCGTCATCATAGAGGCGGAAAACATAGTTAACTGAGGCCTCTTACTCACATGCCGATCTCGGTCGATCAAGAGGAGCCGCTTACCCCAAACCACTTTTTGTTGGGGTCGCCGAATACGAAGCAAACGCCTTGTATAGGGCAGCAGGATGAGAAAATATGGACATTGCGGAAACAGTGAAGAATTGCACGGCAGCTGCGCGACCGATTCTGGAAACGTTGGGTCGTTGAATATTTGCCCGATTTCACAAGGCGAGCTAAGTGGTGCACACCGTCGAAACCATTGAATGTGGGCGATCTTGTATTCATTTGTGACCCGAATATGCCAAGGCGGCAGTGGTGCCGGGGTGTGGTTGAGAATGTCTACCGGGGTGCTGATGGCGAGATCAGAAGAGCAGACGTCAGGACAAACACCGGGGTGCTTCGCCGTCCAACATCAAAGCTGGCCGTTTTGAACATAGAATCTAGTGAATCTGAGTGATTCACGGGGGTGGGGGTGTTGCAAAACGCCCATCCCTGACGCGTTAAATATTCATTGATGTAAGCTCATCGCTGTTTTCGAACTTCCTTTTGTTCCATTCGCTGCACTTGCGAATGATAAATTTAGTAGTGTCGTGAATATAGCAGAGGAAGGGCGCAAACTGCGGTGAGTATATTTGTAGTGTTCGTAAATTTGGTCATTTTATATGTTGTATTAAATTCATGTACATTTTTTCCTATAGAAATAAATAGTTGTTACCAGGCCATGCGGCAATATTATATTTCATCGCCTTTAATTTCACGACGCTACAAATTTTATTAGCTATATAACATAAATATACATAAAATCATTTTTTAGAACTGATTTGTTGATTCCGGGCACGAAAAGTGGTTTTTGGCATTCCTCACGCTCTGGGCACTTTTGGCACGGGTTGACACATTTTTGACACTTGTGGGAGAGTAATGCAGCGTTTTTGCTGCATTTAAAATGCAACATTTAGCACATTGTGTACAAATGTGTTTCACAATGATTTAGCACTTTCGAACATATGTTTTCGAAGAGCGTTCATGCTACCGCATTTAGCAAATGTACATTTACGCGAGTTCGAAAACTTATGCTTTTGATAAACAGCCGTGTTCCAGTCGCTTATTCAGATCCGTATCTATTACGATAAATTCTCACAGAAAAGATAATGTGCAAAAACCCCTACTGAATAGGAAAAAAAAATTCTAAACCAAAAATTCAATACAAAAACTTGAATTGTTTTAACCATAACCCAACATTTGTTTGTGTATATATTCATTTGTCGGTGCTGTCAATTATAATTTCCATACTTAATTAGGAAACAAAATAAACAGAGTTGATCACAAATTAATCCAGATTTCTATCAGCATCATATCGATGTTGAATTTGCGTTACTTTTCTTTATCCAAATAATGTAAAATAATAAATGAAATCTCGATCGGCGATCACTGAAACGCAGCTAGCGACTGTATACTCGAAAAAGCAATGTTGCCACTTTTTCACATTAAACCATGTTCGAATCGTGGAAATTTTGGAAGATCACAGGGTTGCTTTTAGCATTTAGATTCTTAATGCATAAATGGAGTTGGATTTAGTTGCATTTAGGTGACGAATTTTGTATGGATAAATGTACATTTAGAGTAGCATTTAGAGCTAAATGTGCTTTTACGCGTAAGCAAAAACAGCCCATAATGCAGCGTTTTCGCTGCATTTAAAATGCAACATTTAGCACTTTCGAACATATGTTTTCGAAGAGCGTTCATACTATCGCATTTAACAAATGTACATTTACCCGAGTTCGAAATCGTATGCCTTTGACAAACAGCCGTGTTCCAGTCGCTTATTCAGATCCGTATCTATTACGATAAATTCTCACGGAAAAGATAATGTGCAAAAATCCCTACTGAAAAGGAAAAAATAATTCTAAACCGAAAATTCAATACAAAAACTTGAATTGTTTTAACCATAACCAAACATTTGTTTGTGTATATATTCATTTGTCGGTGTTGTCAATTATAATTTCCACACTTAATTAGGAAACAAAACAAACAGAGTTGATCACAAATTAATCCAGATTTCTATCAGCATCATATCGATGTTGAATTTGCGTAACTTTTCTTTATCCAAATAATGTAAAATAATAAATGAAATCTCGATCGGCGATCACTGAAACGCAGCTAGCGACTGTATACTTGAAAAAGCAATGTTGCCACTTTTTCTCAATAAACCATGTTCGAATCCATGAACGAAAGACACAAGATCATGTAAGAACAAGAGAGTGAAAAAAGTCGATTTTTTTAGCGGGTTCTATGCCATCTTGTTTCACTGGAAAACGAGCGAAAAGTAAACAAAGCAAAGAAAACAACGAAAACCAAAATTAGCCAAAATTATTGTCAGCCACTTTAAACGCACAATTTAGGTAAAATGATGCAACAAAATGCTTTAAAATGTGTTGTCATGTTGAATTAACTCTTCTTTACTTGAATAAAAGTGTAAAATAGTGGTGCTTGTGATGTAAACAAACGCTCAGCTGACGAACCCACTTTCTCAAAACCAGTTACAAATACAACGTCGCGTTCTTACGTGATCTTGTATTTTTGGTTCATGGTTCGAATCGTTAAAATTTTGGAAGATCACAGGGTTGCTTTTAGCATTTAGATTCTAAATGCAAAAATGGAGCTGCGTTTAGTTGCATTTAGGTGACGAATTTTTTATGGATAAATGTACATTTAGAGTAGCATTTAGAGCTAAATGCGCTAAATGTGCTTTTACGCGTAAGCAAAAACGGCCCATAACAGGCTAACCTAATATTCGCGGCTTGCGTTTTGGTACGCATGCCGTCAAATTTGTTTGTTTGCGTCACCCGAAATTGACTTGCATGCGTTTGCATTTGATTTCATTGAGCGAAACGTCAAATCAAAATGTCACGCAGAACAAAAATTGGAAATTGAGTTAGCTTCATACGCACGCCGTTCAATTTCGGTTGATCTCATACAAGTTGCATGTGCATGAGAAATTTATGACAATAAATTGGCGGCGTGCGTGAATATTAGGTTAGCCTGTTACTCATTTTTGTACGCTCTAATTGCCGAAACAGCACGGAAAGCGTGTGGCTTCTGGGCTGTTTTGAGCACCCGCGGGTAACCGTGGGCTCGTGTGGAACAAACCTAATTAATCGCCGCCAGCTGTCGCCACGAGCTCATTGTTGTGACAGAGGTTTTTCAAATTAAATTCTAAGCGGTGCTTTTGCAATTGAGTTTTTCTTATTAGTTGTATTTATAGAAAAAATTAATATAAATTCTTTGGAAATGTATCTAATTTCAACGGGGAAGACAACTGTACTCTCTGACTTCAGTAATTTAGAAACAAAATCAATTTACCAGCACGCAAATGGCGAAACCACCGATTTTCAATTCTATGCACGGCAACGCATCTTCCTGGAAGTGAACAAAAAGTCTGGCTTGGAAATAATGCGGATCAAAGATAAAGGAGATCAGAGTAAGTGATTCAATAATTCACGTAGTATTTGTTATACATACAAAGTTTTAATATTTATAACAAAGTTTTAGAAATTCAGCGTGTGCGCAAACTGAATATTGGAAATGTTTACTGTGTCGCCTGCGCAAAGCAGTCGCTCGAGGAAATGGCATTCGGTGGTGTAAATGGCCAAGTTAGTCTATACAATTATAAAAACACTGAACTCTTGCATCGTTTTAAACCGGGTAAGTGCTACAATATGTATTGTATAAGATTCCAGCTTCTAATGCGCCCATCTCTGACCTTTTTTGGCAGAAAATAATCGTAATAGTGTGCTGTATTTGGACTACAATGGAACAGATGAGTATATAGCTTCGGTATTCGAAAGTGGTCAAATCAACGTTTATGGCACTAAAACGAAAACAAAAGTAGATAGCGTAAATATTGATGGAAAGTAAGAAAAGAAACTTCTTTAATTGTGTTGCTTGTTGTAGCTTTATTAACTCTATTTTGGTTTTAGCTCCACTCTGGCACGTTTTCATCCAAGCAAGCGTTTCCAACTATCAGTAGCATCTTTCAAGGGTGCCGTTACCGTCTACGATCTGCAAACCAAACGGAAGATATTCAATCTGAGTGATGCTCATGCCTCACCTTGTCGCGATCTGTGCATGTCTGCTGCAACGCCTGATACGCTAATAAGCGTGGGGTATGATTGTATTGTTAATGTCTTCGACACACGTCGTAGAACGCCGCAAATCAAACTAAATCACCCGCATCCATTGTCGACCGTTGCAATGAGTAGTTGTGGTACATACTTTTGCGTGGGAAATTTGAAAGGCGAGTTGATTTCTTATGATATACGTAGTGTGAAAAAATGTTTAGCCACCAAAAAAGTGCACGATTGCTCTATTACACGTTTATCATTTGTGCCACTACCTGAGGAAGATAATA